GGGGGGGGGGGGGGGGCAGTCCTGGCAACCCCGAGTGTTCCTCGGGTCCCCAGGTCTGGCCGCTGTCTACTGAAAACCCCGCAGGCAAACTCTCCCTCTTCAGTGTCAAGCGGCCTTGCTGAGAGGCGCCAAGGTCATTCCCAACACCTAGAGTCCGGCCTGTGCCCGAGGGAGCTAGATCTGACCACACACCCCGGAGCCGTGGAAGGGCTCTTCTTGGTGCAATTACCCTGGTCATTGAGAACCAGGGCTACTTGGGGTTGTGGAAGCTTATTAACCTCTCACTCCTGCAGCTGGTGCCACACAGCACGGCAAGCAAAGGAGAAAAAAGCCCGTCGGTGAGCTCGCGCTGGAGGGAATGGAGCCACTGTCGCAGAGATGCTCGCGGCCTGAGTACAGGGAGGGATTCCCATCAGATAAAACCGCCTGTGATGACCTAATTCGTCATTCAGAAGGTAGATTCGTCCTGCCCACGTGCTGTCGTTATGGTTTCCATTCTTAGATTATACATAAAAGACCCAGCTGTACCCATCCTCTTTTAGATACACTGCAGAACATGAATCTTAACACGATGCAAATTTCAACTTGTGCCCCAAAATATGTCTTATCGGAGGCAGCCCTGTATAATCCCACGCCTGTTGTCCTGCGCACACTGTTACAATTTTGTATAGCTCGTTTCTTGCAATGTGTTCATTCACTACCTGCCCGCTGCCTTTTTCGGTCTTAGATTCCTTTTTGGTGAAATAATAATACTAATAAATGTGGAATGGGGAGCTGGCTCAGCCACTAAGGGCGCTTGCTGACAAGCCGGGTAATCTCTCATGTCCCAGCAGCCAACTTCGGCAAGTTGTCTCCTGTCCCCAACTCGGGCTCTGTGGTGCCCTGTGCCCCCCCCCACCACAATAAATAAGAGTAAAACACATTTCTGAAATAATAAATAAGAGGAATTAAGTGTGATGGTACACATTTTGGGGGGTGGTGCAGGATGATCAGGGTTCAAAGCCAGTCTCCCCTACCTGAGACCCTATAAGCAAAAGAAATGTATATAAATAAATTCATTCATTTTTTAAAATTTCTGAACGATAAACCATATCATATGCCTTCCAGTCCCTTTACAGTTTCTCATTTGGTTTGTCTTGCTTTATGAAGGTCTTTTTAAACATAAATAAATCCATAAACAGGTATTTCCTAAGTCCTACAAGGCATTTGGGAGACCCCACACATTCTCCTTCTGGACTTCAAACCTCACAGGCTTCCTGTGATGACGCCTTCTGAGGGCTGGGCTGCGGCTCAGTTGGTGGAATGCCTGCCTAGCAGAGGAGGCCTGGGGCGTGTGTGTGTGTGTGTGTGTGTGTGTGTGTGTGTGTGTATCCCAGGCACTGCATAAACCCAGAGCAGTGGTTCATGTCTGTAATCCCTGAGCTGGAGAGATGGTGATGAGAGGATCAGAAGTTCAAGGTCATCCTCAGCTGCCTGGTAAGTATGAGGCCAACCTGGGCTACTTAAGAAAAAAAAAAATTCCATGATAATAAAATTCAGTATAAATGAAAAGTTAAAGAACTTGATGGACAAGGCTGTCGTAGACTTGACTGTGTAGCCCAGACTGACTCAAACTCAGGGACAAGTCACCTGCCTCTGCCCTCTGAGTGCTTGGATTACAGGCCTGGACCACAGCTGACAAGACACTACCCCTAAGTGCTATTTGTGAATCTTAGAAATGGGGGAGGGTGGGGGGTGGCTGAGTTGGGGGAGGGTTGTTTTTTATCTTTTGCTTTTTTTTTTTCCCCCCAACATGTCAGAATCCTGAATAGGATAATTTCCAAAAATAATCCTTCTCTTTTATGGAAAAACTAACTACAAAATGTGGTGCATTCCACTTTCACTGAGTCAGTCTCACCTTCCGCCCACACACCTGGAGCTTTAAAATAGTCCCTGAGGTGGAGACCTATGAAGTGGTCAGGAGAAAAGGCCACCCACCCTGGTCAAGACCTATATCAGGCCTTCTATGTCACAGCTACCAGGAAAATGTGTGCTTGCACGCACAGATACACATGCACCCATCACCCCTGAGAACAAAGCAGCAGCCTAGGGGCTTCCAAACTGTTATCCAAGAAAAAAACTGTAGGAAAGGGGCTCCAGGTGTATCAAGCACCAGGACTAGGAGGAGGAGGGGGGACTGGGTGAGGGAGAGGGATTGTACCTGAGTCACAAAGGCTCACATTAAAGCACCATCTAACCAGTGAGGCAGAACAGGAGGATTGCCAAGTTCAAGGCCAGCCTGGGGAATTTAGTGAAGCCTCAGGAGAGAGAGAGAGAGAGAGAGAGAGAGAGCACTGAGAATGTAGCTCAGTGGTAGAGCACTTGCTTAGGAAGTCTGAGGTGCTAGATTCAATCCCCAGCACTGCAATAAATAATTAAATCATCATCAAACAATTGCTTTTGACTCTACCTACACAAGGCTCCCTGTGGCTCACTTTCTCCCTGCTCCACATAGGGAGGCTCTGAAGACAAGAGGAATAGGACCAGGGGGTTAGGGTTCACTTTGCCTCCTGTTGCTCAAGACATTTAATGGAAGACTAGAGAAAACCCACATTTCCGTAAATACTAATTGATCGGTGGTTGATTGATCCACTGAGGTCCTTCTAACAGTAATTATTATTTGAGGGAAGTGAACTCAGATGCAAATTCCTGGCTCCTGGGTTTTGCCTAGAGGCTATTTTACATTTCAAGAGAGACCTACAGTTTGAACTGGACTGTGAAAAATGAACCCAAACAGCCCGGCAATCAGTTTCCAAATTCTATTCTCCCCTCAACATTTGCATCCCTTCTGCTGATAATTTGTCAGCCGTCCCCAGGCCCTATCTATCATCTTCTGCCGAACAGCACATCCTGGGACAGTGAAGGTCCATCTCTTTGCTCCCGGCTCCCTAATGACGGGATTTGATGGCAACTTTTCAAAGGAAGCCACAGGCATAAGGGACCTCACCAAGCCCACCCAGCCCCTTGTCCTGTGGAGATTGCCCTTGGACTTGTTTAATACATAAACAAAATCTTAATCTCTAAGAACTACAGGTACCACAAAGCATATATCAGTAAACAAAAAATTAATCCTGAGAAATAGCATTGCCGTCAGCTGTGCTAAGAGCCAGAAATACCAGGTGGTGGTAGCCTTTAACCCAGGCACTCAGGAGGAAGATGGAGCTCTGAGTTTAAGGCCAGCCAGGTCTACAGAGCAAGTGCCAAGACAGCCAGGACTACACAGAGAAACTCCATCTGGTAGTTAGTTATGTTTAAAGAGAAAAAGAAATGCCCAATGTACACATGTTTAGAATTCATAATAGCTGCTGCTGTGGTTCATGCTATGATCCCAGCCCTCAGGGAGGCAGAGACTGGAGAATCTCTGTGAGTTCGAGGCCAGCCTGGTCTAAAAAGTGAGTCCAGGACAGCCAAGGTTACACAGAGAAAACCCTGTGTAAAAAAAAAAAAAAAAATGGAACCGGTCATCCACCTCCAGGTTCTTAGGCGTTCACAGAAACAGAAAGCGAAACTCGTCAAAATCAGAAAGCCTCGAGGCACAAGTGCAGGGCAGCTTCCTCTTTTTCTGTTCTCACTCAGCCCTCTGGGGAGCCAAAGAAGGGAAAGAGGTCTTTCTCGGCCGCTGGTTCCAAGAAGTGGTTTTGCTGTTGTGAGTAAGTTCTTAAAATCATTCATTATAAATACCGTTTAAACTCTGATGGTCGGCAATAAAGCGCTAACCACAGGTCCGGGGAGTCCGTTCGATTTTACAGTCTGGGAGGACCTTTGTTCAACCAGCTGTGGGCTTTTTCTCTCACTAACAGAAAGACATAGCAAATACTGTCTGTCCACGTTTGTGGCTGCTATCTAATCGCACTTTACTCTTCCACGGAGCTTTTGGGGGCACTTGGATGAGACACTTTGTCCACAATCTATCCAAGCCAAAGCTAGGCTGCTAATGAGATGCAAATATTGCATTTTACTGGTCAAATTTATTTGAGGTCAGAAAAAGTGGGGGCGGGGTAGTTGGGGGGGCGGAGTTGAAGGCTGATGTCTATGCTGCCACCTGTTGACCATAGGCGGAAATACAGAAAGGGAAGAAACGCTCTATTTGTATTCATAGCCTATTTATATTCTGGACCATAAATGCTTCTTCGATGCAGGCGAAGGGAGCTCACAGTCCATTTGGGGGACATTGCAAAAGCCTGAACCTGTCTCTAGAAATCACACACAATATATATATTTTTAATAAAAACCTTCTTTTAAAGATTTATTTAACCTAGTTTATGTCTATGAGCTTTTTGCCCACGTGCATGTCTGTGCACGACATGCTGCCTGGTGCCCGGGGAGGTTAGAAGAGTTGTTTAGCCCCCAGAACTGCAGCTGTGGATGGTTGTCAGGTGCTCTGTGGGTGCTGCGAACGGAACTCAGGTCTTGTTCAATCTCTCCAACTCCCATATTTGTAGACAAGTATGGACAGCCCAAAGGTCATCCATATATCCAACCAAAGCAGCCTCATCTAGAATGATAATTTGAATGCAATATTATTCTTGGAATTTTTTTTTCCATTTCTTTTCTTTTTACACAAAATGGTTTTTGGTTCAAGTCTAGTAACTAACTACTGAAAGAAAGAAAGCACTTTAAGAAAGTCTTTAACCTTGCCCCATGGCTACAGAGCTGCATTTCTGGGGTAATAGGATGGAAATGGATCCTGGGCATTCTGGCCAGTGTTTCCATCAGGAACAGGATGCTTTGACCCCCTCCAGTGGATTCCGGATCACCCTGAGATAGGAGCGAGCACACAAGGACAAGTCATTTGCGTAGTTGCAGAAATGCCTTCTGTGTTTCTGTTCAGCTTTACAGGGTGAAGGTTACACAGAGCCGCTGTCTGCCTCTAGCATTGTTTTCCCCAGTGCTGGGGTTAAAACCAAGCACGATCCTTGTAAGTGTCAAGGAAACACCCGAGCTAAGATGTTTTGAATGCACTCCAGTGGTCTTCAAATGTGGAGGCTTTCCAACCATATCCTATTTCCCCCATGTCCTGTCTAGAAAGAGAGATATGCCTGCTCAATCCTTGGAGCCTCTGAGAACTGTCCAAAATAACCCTCCTGCTTCACTCCCTCCTGGAGGGAGGGACAGGCACCTAACGGTCCAGTTCATCCAGCACACTCATCCTGTCAGCTGTCAACACGTGACCAAGGTATTAGCCTAGCAATGCCTGCAACCTCTCACGCCTTCCTTCATGAAACCAGCATTCTCGAAGGCTGGAGAGATGGCTCAACACTTAAGAGTACTGGCAGCTCCTGCAGAGAACCTTGATTCAGTTCCCAGTACCCATGCCCAGCAGCTCACAACCACCTCTAACTGGGTTCAGCAGGATCCAGGCCTCTGTGGTCACCAGGAACACACACAGTACCATACATGTACTCAAACACTCATTCACACATACAAAAAAAAAGTAAAACTAATTCTAAAACTAAGAAGTAAAACTAAGTGACTTATCGCTCTCCTTTGAGTCCCCTAATATCTGGTACACGCTTCGGAAGGAACATACAGTCACGGAGGCCGGTCACTGCGGCCCAGTAAGTGCTTCTTGTCTTCAGTTAGTTAGGTTTTCATCTTTGCTGTTGCTCTGAGGACTCTCATAATAGCACGTTATTCATCACCATACAATATTTCAACATGGAAAAAGGCATATCACTAGGACTTTCTTAATAGGGTTCCCATCACCCAGGAAATAATAATAAAAAAAAATAGCAAATGGGATTGCATGAAATTAAAATGCGTATGCTTAGCAACAGAAACAGTTACCAGAGTGAGGAGACAAAACGTCAAAATGGGAGAAAACTCTTGCCAGCTACCTATTGATCAAGGGGTTGATATTCAGAATATGTAAAGAAAAATAGATACATAAAATTTTTCAGTCAAGGGAGGGGGGCAAGTTTATTTCAGTAAATAAACTGAAAAAATATAAATTTTTAAATACTTCAAAAATTAGCAAACTGTGGTAAGTTCCTGGTACAGATGTGAAATCAGCTCCTCAGTGGCCTCATGGTTAAGGCCTGCCTGGGATATAGAAATCAGCTGCTCAGTGGCTTCATGGTTAAGGCCTGCCTGGGATATAGAATGGGTTTCAACCAGCAAGACCTGTTGAAAAAGGAAAAAAAAAAAATGTGATTCTATGTCATGCTAGGAAGAATGGTGTTTCCTTAAACTTACAAGAAAGCAGATCACAACAGAGACCAGCCGGGAAGGAGGGTGCACACACAGTAATGGAGGGAGGGAGCCTGGCACCGGCTCTCTGGAAACCTGTACCAGCATTCCGTGAAACCAGAAAAGAGAGCACAAGCCTTTAATCCCAGCACTGGAAAGGCAGAGGCAGGTGGAGCTCCATGAGTTCAAGGCCAGCCTGGTCGACAGAGTAAGTTCTAGGACAGCCAAAGGTACACAAAGAAACCCTCTCTTGGGGGGAAAAAAGGGAAAAAAATGGGTAATAGAGATGGAATATAATCAAAGAACATGATACACATATGAAAATGTCACAATGCAGGCCATTAATGTGTACAGCGCATTTGTAGCATTTTAAAACAGAAATATAAGTGCCATCCTTTGTACGCTGTGCAGGTCCCTGCCGGCTGACAGCACCCTGCAGAGTCCTGACAGACGAAGCAGCAAGCTCTAACAGTCGCTGCTGCCCAGTTCTAGGCTGCTTCAGGAGGTTTTACACTTTATTAATGTAATAAAATGTACCTTTCACAGTTATCTACAGTATGTAATTACAAATGCATGTTATTGATATTATCAGTGCGATGCTTGAGTTTGCTTTTCCATTAATAGAAACACTGCATTTTATGCATTAATTATACAAAGAATTAATGATGGCTTACACTAGTCTGCCTGCGTGGAGTCGGTGTTGAAACAATTACACCAATGGCAGAGCGGTCCTCTCTTTAGTAAAGGCAATGTTCCAAACGATGGTTTTAAGTGCATTTGCTCCTAAACATAAAGTGTAGTAGATGAGGAATAAATGAGCACATTCCTATAAAACCCAGCTTCATGTGAGAACAGCAGGTATGGAACATGCCCTCTTCTGACTCTTCTTACTTATTAATTCTTGTAAAAGTCCAGGAAAGAGATTTACATTTTTTACTTTCTTCCTTGCAGCATTAAAACTGACTGCGATGTCAGCTGCAAACTCACCTTGTCCTGGACAGACCCACCCTGACCTCATGCAGGGTTCCCATCGCTGCAGACACTACCTTCCTTAAACTCCAAAAGCAAAAAGCTCAGGGGTCATGGAACAACTGCCGTGTCTTTAATTCATCCATGCTTTTTGACAATGTTGGCTGCCAGCAATCTCTTGACTCTTCCTCGACGCCACCACCATCACCACCACCCCTATCCACTACCACACTCTGGCTTGAGCTTTACTTTATATTGTACGCAAGCTCTGCAGCGGCCCCAGGCCTAGCTTCCCAAGTCCACCTCGGTCCCTATCTCAAACCCATCCTTTTCACTGTATGGAGAAGACGGACAAGGAAACAAACAGTGGCCGCTGCCCCTGCTGCAGACGCTTCCTCTGATCTGGAGACAGACCTTGAGCCCCTTCCACAGCCCACGCAGATCTGCCTGGGTAACTCAGCCTCCTCTAGCACCAGGCTGTCACTGACCTCCTTGATCTCAGCAGCACCGAGCCCTCTGTCCCAGGACCTGGGAAGAACTGCTCAGCTCCCAGTTGGTGGTGAACTTCACCTCTCAGGTCCAACGCAACATTTTCTCAAGGGTCTTGCTGGGTCAAATTCTGTGCACTTTCTTCCAGCACCTGCCACCTCTGTCTTACATTGCAATGTTTGTTACAATTACTCGAGTTAGTAGTTCACCAATACTTACTTCCCCTCTCTTTCTAACCCCTGCTCTAGTTCCCATCTTGCAGAGTATCAACGATACTTTACAGTAGAAACCAAATAAATACATCGGTTGGTTGGTTGGCTGGCTGGCTGGCTGGGTGGTTTGTTGGTTGGCTTGTTGGTTAGTTGGTTTGCTGGTTGTCTGGTTAGTTGGTTGGCTGAGTGAGTTAATTAAGAACTAAGTGAATCATAAAACAGTGCTTTGTGCTGCGTTTTATAAGAAACATGGAGGACAGATTTGGTGGCGCATCCCTTTAATCCCAGACCTCCACAGGCAGAGGCAAGTGAATCTCTGAGTCTGAGACCAGCCTGGTCTACAGAGCAAGTTCCAGGAACAGCCAGGGCTACACAGAGAAACTCTGTCTTGAACAACAAAAAGAATCATGGACTCTGACACCAGGCTTCCTGGATTGGGTTTTTTATTGTTGTTGTTGTTGTTGTTTTGGGTTTTTTGGGTTTTTTTTGGTGGGGTGGAGGAGGGGGAGTGCTGAGACAGAGAGCCCTGGCTGTCCCAGAACTTTCTATATAGACTAGCTGACCTCAAACTCCCACTCCACCTGCTGAGACTAAAGGCATGTGCCTCCATTCTAGGCTGAGACTTCCTGGATTTGAATCCCAGCTCTTCCTGAATGGCCACAGATATATTTCATAAATGTCTGTACCTAAGTTTCTTCAACTATAACTTTTATATATAGATAAAAGTAATCACAGGACAGGAGCCTACCAGAGAGGCCTCTGAAAGACTGTATACCCAGCAGTGTATCAAAGCAGATGCTGAGACTCATAACCAAACCTTGAGCAGAGTGCAGGGACTCATATGAAAGAAGGGGGAGTTAGTAAGATCTGGAGAGGACAGGAGCTCCACAAGGACCAAATATATCTGGGCACAGGGTTCTTTTCTGAGACTGTTTCTCCAACCAAGGACCATGTTTGGATATAACCTAGACCCTCTGCTCAGATGTAGCCTATGCAACCCAGTATCCAAGTGGATGCCCTAGTGAGGGGAACAGGGACTGTTTCTGACATGAACTCAGTGGCTGGCTTTTTGATGCTCCCAGCTGAGGGAGGAGCAGCCTGGCTAGGCCACAGAGGAGAACATTGCAGCCAGTCCTGATGAGACTTGATAAACTAGGGTCAGATGGAAGGGGAGGAGGATCTCCTCTATCAGTGGACTTAGAAAGGGGCAGGGAGGAGATGAGGGAGGGAGGGTGGGATTGGGAGGGAATAAGGGAGCGGGATACAGCTGGGATACAAAGTAAATAAACTGTAATTAATATAAAAAATAGAAATTAAAAAAATAATAATGTTCAATACTAAAAAAAGTAATCATAATACATATGTAATAAGTAGCTACTTATTACATTGAAGTGAGCTGATGTATGTAAAGGCACATTGAACAGAACCTGAAACATAATAAACACAGATATGTGCCACTGTGATGTCATTTTGTAGCATATTCCAACTATAGTATTGCTTCTTCTCCCCCCACCCCCAAGACAGGGTTTCTCTGTGTATCCTTGGCTGTCCTAGACTCACTTTGTAGACCAGGCTGGCCTCAAACTCACAGCGATCTGCCTGCTTCTGCCTCCCTGAGAGCTGGGATCACAGGTGTGTGCCACCACTCCTGGCTAGTATCACTTTTCTTGTTAGCCATCGTCATTAGTGCCATTTGCACAGATACTTGTTTTTGAAGACCAAACAATAGGGGCTACTGAAAAATATTTTGAAATTAAGTGTTTATTTTTTAAATTATGGGTATATGTGTGTGTCTATACTTGCATGTAATGGCAGGTGCCTCTAGGGACCAGAGTGTCGATCCCCCAGAGCTGAAAAGTCTCACGTGATTGTAAGCCACCCAACATAGATGCTGGGAACTGAACTCGGGTCTTTTGCAAGAACAAGACATGCTCTTACCTACTAAGCCATTACTCCAGCCCAGGTCCACTGTGTACAAGGCCCTGGGTTTGACCTCTACTGAATACTAAATACATAAGGTAAATTGACATTAAGGTTCTAGTCCAGAGCTCTTCAAACATGTGACTAGAGCAACTAAAATGAGAATAAGAAGTTTTGTTTACTGACAATCAGAAACTTCTAGAAATTCCTTTTACAAAGATGGGATGGACCTCATGAGATTCATCAGGTCTGAAGGGAAGTCGACAGCCTTGTTCCACAGTGGAGAGGATAGACCAGGAGGCAACCAGGCCCAGAGGGCAGCTGCAGTACCTCGGCGGCCCAGTCCGGCCCTTCCCACTGTCTGCTTGAACAAGGGAAGCCCTCCCCCTCTTCCCGTTGTCCAGGTGAGATCCCAGCACTGGCGAAAGCGGCATCTGCTAAAGGTGTACAGCTACAGCTAGCAAGCCTGACGCTGGAGCCGCACCACACAGCAGTGGCTCAACCCCTATAGCTCAAGCTCCCCAGAGATCCAGCACCCACTTCGGACCTCTGAGGGTACAGCACTCTTGTGTCCCCCGCTCTGCTTCATTGCATAGCCTTCACAGTGGGCTGACTCTGTTAGAATCCTTGCTCCTTTTCTGCCAACATTTCTCTTCCCTGTTATCTTGTTGCTACCCTTTTCTACTCTCACACTGCCACCTCCTTCCCTAGCTTGTCTTTGGCCCAAGGACGTGTTTATTAGGTATGCTGTCCCACTCCTTGACCCTCCCGCTACACATGCTCAGGGCCTTTCTGGAGTTTGACATGTGACTAAGACATGCATGTAATCTTGGTCTGGACAACTATATAGTGCCCTGACAGCCTTCTGTATTCAGGAGCCAAGCTGCCATCAAGGGTGACAAATGACAACAACCTAATGACCACAGTAATTCACTGTCCTGTTTAAGATACTATTTAGCAAAGCCAAGGTTAAAACCATGTAACGGAACAAATTAAGGGGCTCTGTTACAGGGCTCCATACTTTTGGCATACATCTCAACTGCTAGCAAATAGCTAGCGCTCGTGTCCACCTACATTTTAAAACTTTTCTCCTTTGGAACAGCTGTAAAATATCTAAGGAAAGATCATCTGAGGCTTTATAAACACTTCTCTTTAAAGCTAAGGCGAGCATGGTAATGCATGCCTTTCCCCTGAGCACTTGGAAGGCAGAGGCCACAACTACAAAGCCAGGCTGGGCTAGTGGGAATCTGTCACAGCAAGATTCTGCCTATAAATAAATGAAATAAAGAAGCCAGAGAGATGGCTGAGCAGTTAATAGCACTTGCTGCTCTTGCAGAGGACCCGAGTTCGGTTCCCAGCACTCTCGTTGGGCAGCTCACAACCCCCTGTAACTCAGTCTCCCCAGAGATCCAGCACCCACTTCTGACCTCTGAGGGTACCAGCACTCACATGCACATACCCCCACATGGACACAAAACCAATCTTTTAAAGTAAGAAGCTAAGGGATGTCACTCAGAGATAGAGCATCTATCCGGACCCAATCACAAGTACTGAAAAAAAAAAAAAAAAAAAGAAGGAAGGAAGGGAGGGAGGGAGGGAGGGAGAAGAAAAAAAGAAAAATCAAAACACAATCACAGAGGATTGTCCTTTTCATGATTAAAAACAGTGTCTCTCATGGGCCAGTGCAGTGGTACATGCCTGTAATTCCAGCACTGGGGAAGGCAGAGGCAGGCAGATCCCTGAGTTCAAGGCCAGCGTCATCTACAAAGGGAGTCCAGGAGAGCCAAGGCTAGACAGAGAAATGCTGTCTCAAAAAAAAAAAAAAAAAAAAAAAAATCTCTCATGGGCTCTGGCCTATCTTAGTCATGTGCTAGCACTTAGGAGGAGAACATCAGTAGAGATGTCATCTGAGAAGCTGTAGCTGAAGGTACTCATGCCCAGCCTTGCCTGGAAAGGACAGGGGCCACCCTGCACTCTGTGGGTAAGAATGCAAACAGAAGTGCAGTGAGCTGCACAGCCGTTCAGGCAGCCCTCTGTGAACCCTCCGCACAGGAAATGAAGAGGAGCGGAGGCACTGTACCTTCAAGAAAGCCACAGCCTCCAATTCGGTGGCCCAGGATGTTTGCAGCTGCCTGGGGTAGGGGTGGGGGAATGTCGCCCTCTCAGGTTCACCCACACCACTCACCTCTCCTGATTTCATCTGATTAATGTGTAACCAAAGAAGTGAAAGGCATTTCACAATCTGCATGTCTCGGCAATTCGAAAATTCCTTCAGCTTGGAAGTAATCGCCAGCAAGGCTCCCTCTACTCTGACATATTTATTCTTCCTCTTCAGATTCAAACCGTTCCAGAAGGTGAGCTTAAAAATACAGCAAAAGCAGCCTGCTTGTCTGCAGTATTTACATGCTTTACATACCCTGAAAATATGTAGCTTATTAATGACTGATTTCCCAACCTCTTCAATAAGCTTTTTTATTAGCATGACACTCCTTAACTTACAAGTGTCAAGCCGTCATGCCCTGTGCGTGTCTCCTTTATGATATTTAATACAAAGATAGAGCAGTATTTATGTCCCTCACAATCAGAGAACGGATTGTTTTAAGATTATACAGCCTAGATGCGATAAAGAAAGAAGGAAGCTTACAAAATGATAAATATTTTCATTAAAAACTTTAAAACTAAAAGTTCAAAGATATGTTCTCCTCTCTTATTTCTTGTCAAAACATGACTTAAGACCCAAAACTAATCTACTTTCAATTTTATTCCATATTTCAGCGCTGTCATAGTACTCAGCAGAGAGTATTGGAATACGATCATTTTTTATTTTGTTGATGTTACCGACAGCTTTATTTCACAAAGCAATCTTATACTATGTCTAGCAGTAGCAGGGCATAGAGGTCAAATAGTCTATCCTTACAGGTAGAGAGCTTATTAAATGGCACGTCTATTAAACCCGACGGGCAACATAAAGAAACATTTCAGCAAAATACTTTTAACATAGTTCAATGAAGATATGGCTCAAAAGGGCAGTAAATAATTTAAACAGAGACCAATGGGGAATTTCTTCTGTTTTTTTTTTAACAGCATCTTCAAATTATATTTCAAACAAAGTGAGTAGAATAAAAAGATAGAAAGAAGCAAAAGCCACAGAGAAGAGCCCAAGGTTTATCATTCTTGAGATATGGATATTTTCTCTAGCAAGGACGGAGGCCTGTAGTCCTCAGCCCACATCTAGACACTAACCACCAGCAATTCTCCACCACAAAGTTCATTTAAAATAGCCCAGCCAGCAGGCCCGTGATCCCAGCACCAAGGACCGGAGCTCAAGGCCAGCCAGCATGACACTAGACCCTGTCTCTAAAGAGCAAATAAACACCATCCAGCCATAGAAATTATGTAACTGTGAATGGACTCTCACTGCATGGTCTCACTGTGCAGCTAGACTAGAGCTTGCCGTGTGGGCCAGGCTGGACTTGAACTCGCAGATCTACCCTCCTCTGCAAGATTTAAAGGTGTGTGCTACCACACCTGGAGATAACATCTTTTAAAGGCTTTTCCTGGTGCCTGTTTTCGAGAATACTTTATTTTTAAATATGTTGACAGATCATAGCCCAGCGCTTGGGAGGCAAAGACAGAAGGATCTCTGTAAGTTCAAGGCTAGTCTGGCCTAAATACCTAAATATTTAAATATCAAGCTCCAGAACAACCAGGACTAAAAAGAGTCTCTCTCTCCATCTCTCTCATATGTATGTGTGTGTATATATTCATGTATGTATATGGGAATATGGATCATACCTAATGTGCTGGTCCGGAATTCTCAAGAGCCTGGGCTGCATCCACACTGCGATAGAGGACAAAGAAATCTCAGTGCAACTACGAAGGGCTCTAAAACAAGTGTATGAATTCACTTTTTAAAAAGTGTCCTTATTATTTTGATTAGATGGGGGAGTGTGCGTACCCACGGGAATATGTACAGGCGTGCAAGCACCTGTGGAGGCGTAAGGTCCCCTGGAGCTGGAGCTGCAGGCAGCTGTGGTCACCTGGTGCAGGTGCTGAAAACCCAGAGGACACAAAGTGCTCTTAGCCACAGAGGCAGCTCTTGGGCCTCCAAAATGTGTTAATTCAGAGTGAGATTTTCTTTTAGATAACCCTAAATCCTTAATTATACATAATATATATGTATATAATTAAGTTTATCATTACTTTAATCATTATTTAGTATATCCTCCTCTGTATGCTAGAAAGAAAGAAAAAAAAAAACGAAAGGAAGGAAGGAAAAAAAAAAGAAACAGAATCCTCCAAACAAAATGGCTGTCTCTTCTTCACATGCATGCTGTGAGTTTTCACGAAGATGACCACCAGAATCTGCAATACCAATGAAGGCTGGTATGAATACCGTATCTCTTAATCTTGAAGTTGGATGCCCAGCCTCTCCCAGAAATCAGGTCCCTGGCCCCTTACCACGTATATAAACTACTTGATGTAGGGCGATCAGTAGACGTAGCTGTGGGGTAATTAAGGCGACACAGCAACGCGAAACCGAGTTGTTAAAGTTTACAGCACTTCCCCTCACAGCACCGCTCCCGCCACTGTCCTTGCCTCGGCACACAGTAAATCATCTACCTAAATGTATTTGCACCCAATCATTTTTTAAAGTCACAATCTTTGTAGTGTCAACTTGTCAAGGGTCAAAGGGAAGAACAGGCAAGATTCCCAAATCAATCTGCTTGTAGAAACTGTCTCATTTCATTTCAAATTACCTGCTGTGGTGGACGCCGGGTATGGACAAACTGCCTTCCTCCATAAACCATGACAGCACGGGTCGAACTTATGCAATCATTCATAAAAGGCCAAGTCGTGTCTCTTCTGTCATTAACTACTTTTAAACGGCTCTGCAGGGGGAAGTGATCTTGCAGGACAGCCACAGATATAAATACTGTTTGGACAGTTTAATGTCAAGAGACAACTCCTCTGGGATTAAAACTGTGTAACCCAATAAGATGCCTGCCCACACAAGGACTAAGGTGCTTTGGCATTATTACAGGAACCCATACCTTTACATATGTTTTATGCAAGAGAGCCAACAGCAAGCGGAACACCATTTATCTACCTTATGCAACGACACGGTATCCTGAAATATTAAAAATAGCTTTAGCACTCAGAGTCTCGGCCGCTCCAGAAAGCGTTCTTCCACAGTTCCCACCTTGTGAGGCCGAACAGAAAGTGAGGGCACAGGATGATGTGAACCTTGGGCCCGCAGAACTCGCTGGACTATTAAAGACCTAAAGCTGTCCGTGGAATCAGGGCAGTTGGATACAAGAACTTGTTTCCAATAGGACTGAAATGGTTGTTCCTCACCATCTTGGCTCACCCATGGTGGTCCGCAGTCACACCTAAATTAACAGCTGATGTTTACTGAACTCTTGGTGCACGCTGAATACTGTGTGAAGGGATTTATATGTGTGACCTTGCTGAAACTCGTTTCCTAAGGAGGAATCTGTTGTAATCTCAGTTTAAAGGTAGGAAGGCTGTGAATCAGAGCAGACATGGATGTGCCTCAGTGGAACTAATTTTGTCTGAACTGGGGAAGTCACCTATGATGCTATGCTGCCTCCATCACCACCTGTCCCCTGGAAGGAATTTTGTTGCCTGACATATGCAGTATTACACAGTATAAATGCAGTGTCTCCGCTTTCGTTAACATTCATGCTAAGTGCAAAATCCTTCCGGATCACTAAAAAGGGAAATGTTGCTTAGTTACGAGCAGGCACACTGAGTCGAATCAAGTGGATGTAAGAATCCCTCTATGGGAACATGAAGACTTTCCAGAGGGTATGTGGGCACGGAACTTTTAAGGAAATCAATTTCAAAACGCTCACTGTCCGTATGTTTTCTTTCCTAAAATTAATCATGCTGAGAAAATATGCTAATCTATACTTTCCACCCCAAATCACAACAGATGTTTCCCAACCTACTTCAAAAGAAACATCTCCCCCCCACACACCAACGCTTATCCTACCAGGAAGGTGAGAGCCTTCACCTTTCCAAATTTCCTCACCAGTCTGTCCCCAAAAGAGACGTGTGTCAGTCAAAAATCAGTGTAAAACTCATCTATCAGATATAAGGGATCTGTGATGTTCGGATCAGCTTCTGATGACAGCTCAGTGTGGAAGGAACTTGTTGACCTTCGGAACCTCGCTTTAGTGTAAGATACATGTGAACACAGCTGCACAGCAGAAAAGGAGTAAGGACAACCAGCATAGGACAAGCTGCCTTAGGAAAAGGGGCAAAGAGAATGGAGATGAAATTTCAAAGGAAAAAAGAAAAAAAAAGGGGGGGGTGAGCATTTTTTTTTTTTAATTCTTCATTTGAATCTTATGTGCATGGGTATTTTGCCTGCAAGCATGTCTGTGTCTGTGAGGGGTGTCAGATCTTAGAGTTTCAGACAGTTGTGAGCTGCCATGTGGGGGCTGGGAATTGAACAGGAGTCCTCTGAAAGAGCAGTCAGCTTTCAACCACTGAGCTAGCTCTCCAGCCCCCAGGTTTGAGTATTTTTAAATGGGTGCTGGTGAGTACAAAACCACTGTGAAATTCATATTCCTCTGCCTGCATCCCAACCAGTTTCTCCTCTGTAGCACTGTGGACATTTTGGGCTGTCTACACAGGCAAACACACACACTCATATGTGCATAGTGCAGTCTCTAAAGACATCCCGACATATGGCCCAGGGTGACGAGGAGAGCGTGCACTTAAAGAAGCAATATAATACAAAATAAGTCGGGTGTGGTAGCTTACGCCTTTAATCCCAGCACTCGGGGAGGCAGAGGCAGGTGAGTCTCCAGTAGTTTGAGGCCAGCCTGGTCTACAAATCAAGTCCAGGACAGCCAAGGCTACACAAAAAAAAAAAAAAAAAAAAAAAACAAGAGAGAGAGACAGACACAGACAGAGAAAATCAAGAAAAGAAGCAATATAATAGATTATGTTTCAATTTTTTATTTTAAATCTATTCACATTGAGCTTCCAATCAAAATTGTGCAAAAACAGTGCATACTTTTTTTAAGTGTTATCATTGTGTGTACCCATGAAGGGGAAGAACATTTCTGTGGATGTTGGAGAGCTTTCTCTTTTTTCCTTGTTTATATCTGATCTGCATGAGTGTTTTGACCGGTTATATTAAACCATGTGTGTACAGTAGCTGTGGGAGCCAGAGGAGAGTGTTGGATTCCCATGGAGTTACAGATGGCTGTAAGCAGCCACATGAGTGTAGGAAACTGAATTCAGATCCTCTAGGAGCACAGCAAGTGCTCCTCACCTCTGAGCCATCTCTCCAGCCCTGTCAGAGGACACCTGTGTGCTGCCTGTCTCTCCAACTTTACCTTAGTTCCAGGGATTGAACTCAGGTACCAGGTCTGCACGACCTTTACCGGGTGAGCAATTTGCCCAAGATGGAATATATTTTTAGAAAATTATTCTTAGAAGTGTATAGAGGGGCTAAAGAGATGACTCAGCAGTTAAGAGCACTGCTTGCTTTTCCAGAGTGGCAGTTCACAACTGTCTGTAATTCCGGTTCCAGCGAATCCCACACCCTCTTCTGGCTCCCTAGGGAACCAGGCATGCAAGTGGTACTCAGACATGCATGCAGGCAAAACATTCATAGAGATAAAATTTGTGGTTGTTTTGGTGTTTCGAGAGAAGGTTTCTTCTCTGTATAGCAACTCTGGCTGTCCTGGACCTCACTTTGTAGACCAGGCTGGCCTCAAACTCACTGCCTCCAAAGCGCTGGGATAAAAGGCATGTGCCACCTCAGAGATATTTTTTTTAATTAAAAATAATGATTTTTGAGAAAGTATATGTGCACAAAAATGATCCCAATGCCACAGAAAGAGAGTCGCAGTCAGTGCTGAGTGTGGTGAGGGCAGATGGAAGATCAAGGGAGGATTCAATGCTCCATTTCTACTGCCCCAGTGATTCAGGCACCATGCTGAAGTTTTGGTGTGTGAACACGAGGCAGCTTGGAGCAGCCTGCAGCTTAGAAGCAGAGGCTTGGAGGTACGGCACGGGCCAGAAAACCTGCTTGGTTTGCAAACAACATAAATATAACCTGGACTGTTGTGCTAATCCTCAGACATTTTAGGATTTTTTTCCCTTTTTTTTTTTCTGGGTGTGGGTGTTTTGCCTGCATGCCTGTCTCTGTAGTATGTGGGTTCCCTGGAGCCTGTGAAGGCCAGAAGAGGTCTGTGGACCCCCTGGAACTGGAGCTATTGATGGAGCCATGATATAGGTGCTGCGAGTCTAAGCTGGGTCCTCCGGAAGAGCAGCCAGTGCTCTTAACTGATGGACCATCTCTCCAGCTCACTCAGTAATTTTACAGCTGTATCTTTCTATTTTTCTATTTCTTTTTCTCTTTCTTCTTCTTTCTTCTTCTTTTTTTTTTTTTCCTTTCTGAGATGGGTCCTACTTTATAACCCAGGCTGTCCTCCAACTCAAAGCAATTCTTCTGCCTCAGCCCCATGACTTAGTTTTAATGATTCAATCAAGCTTTCTCTCTCTCTCCCATCTCCCCAATTCACAATGGCAAAATTAATAGTGCACACAGGCAAGACTGAGAAAATACTGCTACTCATACTCTCATAAGCTAGAGAAATAGGGCCTTCTTGTACATATTCTTTTGAAACCCTACATACTAAAATTAGCAGTTCATAGCTGGGTGTGGGGTACACATCTGTAATCCAAGTACTCAGGAGACACAGGCAGGATAATCAGGAGTTCAAGGCCAGCCTGAGCTATGTAGTAAGACCCTGTCTCAAGAAAACAAAACAAAATTAAAAAGAGGCATGTCAAGCCAGGGATGGAGTAACAGCCTTGCCTACCATGCTTCAGGCCCTGAGTTCAATCCCCAACATTAAGGAATAATTAAACAGGGACTAGAGAGATGGCTCAGCAGTTAAATACAGTGGCTGCTCTCCCAGAAGACCCAGGTTCAGGTCACAGCACCCACATGGCAGCTCACAACCAGGGGATACAATGCCCTCTTCTGGCCTCTCTGGGCACTGCATGTAAGCATACAAGTAAGCAAAACTCCCATAAAAAATTAAAAATATATACATTGTAATTAAGTAAGTAAAATAAATAAATATACTGTTTCTAGATTCAACTCTAATTCTCCAATACACATTTAAGATGCTTTATATTTTAACAGTAATTACAATAATAATGCCATTCAGATCTGGTATCTCATCTTAGCTCACCTAGTTTTGGGTCCGCCAATCTACCCAGCTGTGAAAGTGAGGTAGTGGGCCCTGGAAGCTGCCTGACCAAAGGGCTAAGGTCAGCGCTCTTCCAGGGACTACACCATTTCAGAAACAAAAGCCAACGGTCTTCAGGTATGATAAGCACTGCTTTCAGAAGCACAGCCCTGATGAAGACAGCTGCGTGCATTTGATGGACTTAGGAAGGGCCTGCTTGCCAAGGTCACATTTGATAGCTGAATCCTTAAAACAAAGTCAAGGTTCCTCAACCTTGGATAGTCCAAACAATCGCATCTCTTAGTTTACTTCACCGCGTGACTGAATACGAGACGACGCTGGCCTTCTGAAAACTGTGTGGGTCCAGGGACGGGCAGCACACAAGGCTGCCAAGACAGGAGGCAGCGTAGCAACGAGTGTAGTGTGGTCCAGTGGGAGCCAAATCCTCAAACGGCCCACAGGCCGCACAAGAGAGTGCCACCGTGGAGATGGGAGACCTCCCTGTAGCCAGCCTGTGTGTATTTAGTGGGGACCTCGGGGGAATGTCTTAGGCTCTGGTGGTGCACACAGGCCGCAGATATGGTGGAGAAAGAGAAGCCACTGCAGACAGGTATCACCTCCAAGCCCACTTTCCTCAAGCACAAAGTAGGGGGATCTTTTAGGGCAGCATATGAAATAGAACATTATTTACAGCACATGAGGTATAAGAGTTCCATCAAGTCTTATTCAGGAAACCTAATCAGGGCCTACCCTTATAATACCAGCCCTTATTGTGTGGAGATAGGGAGGACCAGGAGCCCGTATCCCATATCAGTAGATTTAAGACCAAGCCAGGCTACATGAGACCCTATCTCAAAGAATAAGAAAAATAGGAGATGCAGACCAGTCGGTTGAATGCTTGCCTAGGAGTATGTATAAAGCAGTGTGTAAAATGCAAGGTTTTTTTCCGTGCCTGCCCTTGTTCTAAATAATGTTCTAAATAATGTGCTAAATAAGACCTTTACATTTTATACGTGTCAGGCACTGCAGCTGGGCAGGTACGCAGCTATTCTAACCTGACAATTCTGGCCTGGCCTACTTCCCAGCCATGTGGCCCATTACCTGCCACTTAGCCACACCCTGGCACCCCTTTCTTCATCCGTGCCTTAATGGTGACTCTCCCTCCTTCTGGTGCCCACCTGGGACCTTCTCCCTGGACTCAGAAGTTCCGCCTTATTCTCTCCTGCCCAGCTATTGGCTGTTCAGCTCTTTATTTAACCAGTTGGAAGGTGATGGAGAGCAAGGTTTGCAACACACAAAGACAGGAGATGCTTCATAATAATGGCAATGCCCACGGACTGCAACCAGAGCTCTGCGCACAGAGAGCAGCATCTGAATACACAGTGCACAAAAACATCCTCCAACAATAGTGGGTTCAATCCCCGGCACATAAGTGGGAGGCGGTGTGTGGGAATTACACACCTGTAATTCCAGCAATGAGAAAGCACAGGCAGGAGGATCAGAAGTTCAAGGTTATCTTCAGCTACGTGGTGAGTTGCAGGATAGCCTGAAAAACATGAAGTGTGTGTGTGTGTCTTATATGTAGAATCTAAAAAAAGGATAAAAGACTATTTAAGCTGGACATGGTGGGACACGCCTCTAATCCTTATTAGAAGGCTTCCCTGTGCTTCCCTAGTACTGGGATTAAAGGCGTGCCACCATGCCTGGTAATTAATTACCACCATGCCTGGTAATTAATTTATTAATTAAATTCTTCTTTCTCCTGCCTCAGCTTCCCCAGTACTGGCATTTCAAGTGTGTGCTACCACATGTGGCTAATATAAACTTAAAAAACAGGTTCTTACTGTATAGCCTTGGCTGTCCTAGAACTGGCTGTGTAGGCTAAACTGGCTTGAACCCACAAAAATCCACCTGTCTTTGCTTCCTGAGTATGGAATTAAAAAAGGAAAAGGCATGCTCTACTACATCAGGCTCAGATGGACTATTTTAAAATGTTATAGTGTATTTAATTACTTGTGAACTCACTATGGCTATTTCCTTTTAAAACCCGCTCTACTGGACCATAAAAATATGCCGACAGCCAGTTTTCAGTTACTGAGTGGCCGCTGTAGTCGGTATGGCTGGATCAAAATCAAAGGTTACATGTTTGCTTTTACTTGTCTGTGTGTGGGTAAGGGAAGGCTGAGGCAGGTTTATTTTTGTGAGTTTGAGGCCAGAGAGGTCTATAAAAGGAATCCAGGACAACCAAGGCTACACAGAGAAACCCTGTCTTAGAATAAATAAAATAAAATAAAATAAAATAAAATAAAATAAAATAAAATAAAATAAAATAAAATAAAAAAGAATAAGGAGATAAATGTGACTGAAGCCCATTGCATGCATGAACGTACCTTAATAAAACCTGGCATACCATAATGACCTACTCTGGAAATCCCAGCACCCAGGAGGCTGATGGTAAATTCAAGGCCAACCTGAGCTATGACAGAGAGACCTGTCAAAAATAAATAAACAAAAATATAAAATATTGGGCTGGAGAAATGGCTCAGAGATTAACAGTACTGGCTGTTCTTCCAAAGGTCCTGAGTTCAATTCCCAGCAACCACATGGTGGCTCATAACCATCTATAACGAGATCTGACACCTTCTTCTGGCATGCAGGCAGAATAATGTACACATAAATAAATAAATCTTTAAACTATATATAAAATATTATAATGAAACCCATTATTACAAATGATACTTTCATGGTTTTTGTTGCCATTGTTTTCTGAGGTGAGGTCTTACCATGTGGCCCAGGGTGCTCTAAACCCTTGGATCTCCGCTGTCCGCCTCCGTGACTGGAGACTCACAGGGTTTGTCACAATGGACTCCAGCCAGTCCTTTGCAGGATGACCTCCTTGCCTTGAGAAGAGATGCCCCTGTGGTTAGCCCCTCGCCTGGCGATTGAAATGAGGTGGCCAGGTGTGCAGTCACGGGCCACAGGGCTGGAGAGTCTGCTTGCTGACGGCACCCTGTTCTTACTTGTTTGACAAAGTAGGAAGCCATGTTATGGCAAGGAATTGAGTGGCCTCCAGGAAGTGGAACTGTCCATCAGACCACAGCCCAGAAGAGGAGGTAGCTTGAGGAGAACTGAGTTCTGCTGATCACCCTATTAGTCGGGAAGCAGTAATTTCCCCAGGCAAGCCTCAGAGCCAGGCAACGAGCCATAGCCAGCTGCCCCGCCCAAAGCCTTGCCCTCGGAAATCATGAGGTGTTACCATGAATGACACCTCTATGCTCAAGTCTGTACTGTACTAAGGAACCCACAGCTAATGCACCCTCCAAGGCATGGGCAGGTCCCTGTTGTCACAGAATGGGGAATCCAGGCTGGAAGGAAAAGCAAGTGTCCCCACTGTCCCTACTCTTGGTTACATCTCACATCTCCACCCTGGGAAAGTCATTTCCCTTACCCACACACAGACAAGTAAAAGCAAACATGTAACCTTTGATTTTGACCCAGCCATACCGACTACAGCGGCCACTCAGTAACTGAAAACTGGCTGTCGGCATATTTTTATGGTCCAGTAGAGCGGGTTTTAAAAGGAAATAGCCATAGTGAGTTCACAAGTAATTAAATACACTATAACATTTTAAAATAGTCCATCTGAGCCTGATGTAGTAGAGCATGCCTTTTCCTTTTTTAATTCCATACTCAGGAAGCAAAGACAGGTGGATTTTTGTGGGTTCAAGCCAGTTTAGCCTACACAGCCAGTTCTAGGACAGCCAAGGCTATACAGTAAGAACCTGTTTTTTAAGTTTATATTAGCCACATGTGGTAGCACACACTTGAAATGCCAGTACTGGGGAAGCTGAGGCAGGAGAAAGAAGAATTTAATTAATAAATTAATTACCAGGCATGGTGGTAATTAATTACCAGGCATGGTGGCACGCCTTTAATCCCAGTACTAGGGAAGCACAGGCTGGTGGATCCTTTGGAATTTGAGGCCAGCCTGGTCTACAAAGTGAGTCCAGAACAGCTAGGCTACACAGAGAAATCCTGTCCAGATAGATAGATAGATAGATAGATAGATAGATAGATAGATAGATAGATAGATAGATAAAGTTGATATTAAAAAAGCAAATCTGGGGGTCTGGAGAGATGGCTCAGAGGTTAAGAGCACTGGCTGCTCTTCCAAAGGTCCTGAGTTCAATTCCCAGCCACCATGTGTTGGCTCACAACCATCTATACTGGAATCTGATGCCCTCTTCTGGCGTGCAGGTGTATATACAGATAGAGCACTCGCACATAAGATCTTTTTTTTAAAAAATAATAATAAAAGTAAAAATATCTGAGTGTTAAGGCACATGCTTGTAATTCTGGCACTTGGGAGCTGGAGACAGGAGGATTGCCTTGACCTTAAGGCCAGCCAGGGCTACATAGCAATACCCTATTTAAAAAAAAAAAAATCAAAAACACTCTTGTAGGCAGCACTCATTGAGATGTCAAGCACTCAGCAGTGGTATTGCCACTCCCTTGCTCGCTCCCAGCCAATCTCCATCTTGTCCCAGTCGCTGTCCCAACCACTGGCTGTGTTTGCATACAGATATCACGGATCACCCAGTGTGTGTCAGCCTCCTGTCCCTCAACATCACTTGTGTAATGTTCATCCATGCTCCATGTTGTGGCGATAATCTATTTTGCCCAGAACTTCAGAGAAGACCATCCTGGCAGTCAGCAAATGAGAGGCCATAAGGTAGGCTGGGAAAGCAAAGGGAGGGGACAAGGGGAGACCCCTGAGTAAAGATAGGTTCCCCAGAGCAAAACACACACTCACAGACACACACTCACTCAGCTGCATGTGGCTGAAGAGGCCATGAGCTCAGGGGTCCCAACCAAAGCGCTGTCTTCCTTGCAGCCTGGGAAGAAGTTCAGGCCCAGGGGATAGGTACCAAAAGTCCATATCAGGGGTGGGTACCAAGCTGAGGGAGGGGGCAAGCTAGGACAAGAGAGGAGATTTGATGACAGAAAAGACCCCAGCGTGGGCTAGGATGCAGTTCAGTTGGTAACTGGCTTGCCTAGCTTGTAGGAGTCCTGGGTTGGCCACACACACCTCATGAAGTTCCAGGCCATCTTCCTATACTTGAAACCCAGCCTCAAAACGGGAAGGCAGCGATTTGGGGTGGGGGTGAGGCAGAAGCTAGTGTCTGAAATCTCTTCAGACCCAGTACCACCCCAGCAGCCACTTCATCTGAAACTCAACTGAAAAATTAACAAAAAAAAAAAAAAAAAGCAAATGACTTTCCTCATCTGGAAATGCCTTTATAAGCAATTTTCAAGTATAACTTATAAAAGCTTCATTTACATCTTCACTTAAGAAGAGATAAGGCTAGCTGGGCAGCAGTGGTGGCTCAGGCCTTTAATCTCAGTACTTGGGAGGCAGAGGCAGGCCAGTCTGTGAGTGCTACAGAGTGACAGCCATAGCTACACAGAGAAACCCTGCCTCCTGTGGGGAGGGAGGAGATAAAATCTAACCTCGGGTTTTTTTCTTGAGGGGGGGAGAGGGGAGGGGGCTTTGAAAACAGAGTTTCTCTATGTAGCCCTGGTTGTCCTGGAAGTCACTCTGCAGACCAGACTGGCCTCGAACTCAGAGATCTGCCTGCCTTTGCCTCTAAGAGTGTAGGGATTAAAGGTATGTGTTACCACAACCAGCAACCTCAGTAATCTTAACCTATACTCCAAGTTACTCCCTGAAAAATTATTTTCAAATATTCAAAATATGTGAAGTTTACATATGCTGGGCGTGGTGGCTTACAGAGGAAGCTGAGGCAGGAGGATGATGGTAAGTTCAGAACCAGCCAGGAGCAAATACAAAGGGTGTGAGGGCAAGGGTGCTTTAATAAAAGGGTAAAAAAAAAAAAAAGTCTTAAAAATGGTCTAGGCAGAAAGACAGACAGGAACTATCATCCAGCATGATGACTCCATCTACTGAAATTTCATTCTAGACTTTCTGGAAAGTTTCGAAGTCTCAAGATAAGAAAGGTGATGACAAGATAAGATTTGTACTGTGTCCGGGAGCAGAGTAGATGGCTGGGGAAAGATGGAGACAGAAATTCTTCCAGAAGTTGGTGGGAGGTGCTCTCCTAGAGGGAAAACACGTAGGTGTTAGCTCTGCAGAGCAGTTTTTAAAAATCTGTATTTCCTTTTTAAAATGATCTTATTTATTTATGTACTTTGCTGGGAAGCACATGTATGAAGGTCAAAGGACAGCCTTCATTTCTACTCTGTGGGTTCTAAGAATCATAGTCAGGTAGTCAGGCCTTTACCTGCAGAGCCCTGACCTTCCCAAATGCTGGAGCAACATTTCCAGGAAGCTGACAGTGTGCAGCTTCTTCAAGACAATACTTCTGTTCTTCAGGTTAAATATCACTGTAGCTCCATGCATCCTGTCCTTCCAGTCTCACACCTCAGAATCCACAGTCATCTTTCCCAGGCCTTTGAGCTTTCCTCACAGCTCTCCTGCTGAGTGGAGCCTAGATTCCTGCCCCTGGGGATTTTTTTTTTTTTTTTTTTAATCTTCCTCTCTTCCCTTTCCTAGCAACCTTTGTTGATAAGCTTGAAAGTTCTTGACTGCAGTTAAACCGCCCTTGGGTTTGGCAACCTTTTCCTACCACAGTTTCTACTCTCTCCCTGTCTCATCTCACAAGAGGGAAACTGAGGCTCAACATCTCAGCACCCACTCTGCAGAATGCATGCAATCTGTTATAACTAAACCAACAGACAATAAACAAACAAGCAAACAAGAGCCAGAAGAAGAGGGTAGGAGAGAACATGAAGTCATGGTAGCACAGGCCTGTAATCCCAGAACTCCAGAACGGGGCAAAAGGATCTTGGCAACTTTGAGGTCAGCAAGGTCTACAAAGCAAGACCTTTGTTTCAAAAACTCAGAGGCTGGAGGAGAGATTACCGCCTCATCTAGCAATGGCAGCTAACTCCAACTGAGCAACCAGGGGAATTTAATTATTCCCAGAAGACTAGGGTGTATCCAGGGTTTAAGGACATCAGGGCACATTCCCGACACCTCCATCCTCCTGCACTAACCTCTGCTGCACTCCTCCAACAGGCTTCAATGAATCCTAGAATAAACAGCCAGGGCAGCCCTCCAGCTGATGGGCCATCTGTCTCAAGCTTCTCCCAGAAACACTAAAGAAGGGCTTTTCAAGCAGGGCTCTAGCAGCTACAGCCTTTAATCCCAGTACTTGAGAGGCAGAGGCAGATGGATCTCTGAGTTTGAAGCCAGCTTGTTCTACAGAGCAAGTTCCAGGAAAATTAGGGCTACACAGAGAGACCCTGTCTCAAACCCACCCACTTAAGAGACAAAGAGAGAGAGAAAGAGAAGAAGAAGAAGAAGAAGGAGGAGGAGGAGGAGGAGGAGGAGGAGGAGGAGGAGGAGGAGGAGGAGGAGGAGGAGAAGAAGAAGAAGAAGAAGAAGAAGAAGAAGAAGAAGAAGAAGAAGAAGAAGAAGAAGAAGAAGAAGAAGAAGAAAGGCTATCTCCTTCAGCTAAATCATGCTTCCTCAACAACTTCTAAAAAAACCCTGGACAAATGAGACAAAAGCTGGGCTTGAGGGTATAAATTTATCATGCCAGCATGCAGGAAGCAGGCAGAAGGACAGGCTACAGTGAACGAACTATGCAGAACTATGCAATGTGTTCCTGTCTCAACAACAAATAGAGAAAGTCAGGAGGCAGAAAGCTACCCTCTCAGAACTTTAGAGGTGAGGGCAGGAGGATCAGATCAGGAAGTCAAGGTTATTCTCTGCTACAAAGTGATACCAGCCTTGAGCCCTCAACACAGGGGCTAGGGAGACAGCTCATGGATCAAAAGCACTTCCTGCTCTTCCAGAGGACCTGGGTTTGGTTCCCAGCACCCATTGCCAGAAGCTCCTAACCAGTTGAAGTCTAATTGCAGGGGAATCTGACACCCTCTTCTGGCCTCCAAAGGATCCTTCATATATGTATACACAGAAAATTATTTATTTACTATTTATACAACATTCTGCCTGCACACCAGATCTTACTATAGATGGTTATGAGCCATTATGTGATTGCTGGGAATTGAACTCAGGACCTTTGGAAGAACATCGAGTGCTCGTAAGCTCTGAGCCATCTTTCCAACCCCAAGAATGTAAATCTTTAAATAGACAAATAAATAAATGAGACGGGTGGTAGATGATGGCAGACACCTATAATCTCAGCACTCAGAAAGCTGACGTAAGATGCTCATAACTTCAAGACTGGTTTGAACTACAAAAACCTAGTTTCCAAGAAATTAATTAACTACAATTAAAAAAATAGAAACCGGAGCAGGAGAGATGGCTCTTCGGTTAAGGACACTTGTTCTTACAGAGGATCTGGGTTTCCAGCACCGACATGGAGGCTCCCAAGCATCCGTGACTCCAGGTCCAGGATGTACAAGATATATAGACATGCGTGCAAGCAAAACACCCATTGTTACGATGTAGAATGATGATGGGTTAGGATGATGATGAAGGCGGTAGGGTGGGGGCATGCCATGGGGGCCCATGCCAAGGTGTAACCCCCCTGAGGAATTACACCACACAACAGATCTCGTATAAGAAAGTTTATTGGGGAGAAAGGAGAGGAGAGCCTGGAGAAGGGGGAGAGACAGTGAGTTAGACATGAGGAGGCGGGTGCAGGGAAGGAGAGAAATAGTGGGAATAGAAAGAACAGAGAGAGAGCTGTGGATGGCCAGGGTCCTTATATCTGGCACTCACTTGGCACGCCTGGTGGTGGAAGGTGATGACATAAGCAATTGCTAGGACCCTGAAGGCAGGCCTGCTGAATCACCTGTACACTAACACTCATACCCATAAAATAAAATTAAAAAGTCTAAAACTAAGAAGGAAGAAAACATACAGTAGGGCATGGTGCCACATGCCTTTAATCCCAGCACTCAGGAGACAGAGGCGAGGGCATCTCTGTGAGCTCAACCTGGTTTGCACAGCAAAGTTAAAGGCTACTTGGGGCTTCATGGTAGAACCCAAAGAAAACCAAAACAGAATAGAAAGAAAGCCCAGGGCTGGAGAGAGGCCTCGGTGGCTAAAAGCACTGGCTGCTCCTCCAGAAGACCCCCACTTAATTCCCAGCAACCTCATGGTTCGTAACTATCTGTAACTCCAGTTTCCGGGGGTCCTGGAACCCTTCTCTCAACCTCCACAGGTACAAGGAATGCACATGATATGTGCACATATATGTGGATAAATAACTCATCCACAAGGCTGGAGACATGGCTCAGTGGTTAAGAGGATTTCAGAGGTCCTGAGTTCAATTCCCAGCAACCACATGGTGGCTCACAACCATCTATAATTTGATCTGATGCCCTCTTCTGGCACGCAGGTGCGTAAGTAGATAGAGCACTCATACGTATCTAGATAGATAGATAGACAGATAGATAGATACAAAGAAAGAAAGGAAGGAAGGAAGGAAGGAAGAAAGAAAGAAAGAAAGAAAGAAAGAAAGAAAGAAAGAAAGAAAGAAAGAAAGAAAGAAAATAGATAAATAGAAATTTCCATACAAATAAAATCATCAGCATCAGTCAGGTACAGTGACTCAGGCCTGTAATCCCAGTAGTCAGGGAGGCAGAGTCAGGTAAATATCTGTGAGTTTGAGTCCAGCCTGGTCTACAGAGCAAGTTCCAGGACAGCCAAGGCTACACAGAGAAACCCTGTCTCAC